GGTTTCATATTGTAAAGACGTACAGTACAGTATGGCGTGATTGATGTGTAAAGACAGTAGTCATAAATTCTAATGAGACAGAATATTAATGTGAGTAATAGTGAAGGAAATGTTTTGGTGGGTAGGCTACTATGTTTGGCATGACAATGACCATATGATTTGGCAAGACAGTACAAACAGATCTGAGAACAGCCCAGCCTTTTCTTGCTAAGACAGAGGAAGTAAATACAAACAGTACAAAATAAGAGAATATCTGTTGTGCCAACAAGAAGATGCCAGACAACATTTGTGTTGTCACAACATGCCCTGTTATAAATTGAGTTTATTTTACCAGCTTTAGGTAGACATAAAGGAAGCATAGCATTACTTAGTAATTCAGCACTTTGTTCTGTTGTACAGCACCAGTCAAAAGTTTGGACACACCTACTCATTCAAGGGTTTTTCTTTATTTTTACTATTTTTTACATTGTAGAATAATAGTGAAGACATCAAAACTATGAAATAACACATATGGAATCATGTAGTAACCAAAAAAGTGTTAAACAAATCAAAATATGTTTAATAGTTGAGATTCTTCAAATAGCCACCCTTTGCCTTGATGAAAGCTTTGCACACTCTTGGCATTCTCTCAACCAGCTTCACCTGGACTGCTTTTCCAATAGTCTTGAAGGAGTTCCCACATATGCTGAGCACTTGTTGGCTGCTTCTCCTTCACTCTGCCGTCCGACTCTTCCCAAACCATCTCAATTGGGTTGAGGTCGGGGGATTGTGGAGGCCAGGTCATCTGATGCAGCACTTCATCACTCTCCTTCTTGGTAAAATAGCCCTTACACAGCCTGGAGGTATGTTGGGTCATTGTCCTGTTGAAAAACAAATGATAGTCCCACTAAGCCCAAACCAGATGGGATGGTGTATCACTGCAGAATTCTGTGGTAGCCATGTTGGTTAAGTGTGCCTTGAATTCTAAATAAATCACTGACAGTGTCACCAGCAAAGCACCCCCACACCATAACACCTCCTCCTCCATGCTTTACGGTGGGAACTACACATACGGAGATCATCCGTTCACCCACACTGCGTCTCACAAAGACACAACGGTTTGAACCAAAAATCTCAAATTTGGACTCCAGACCAAAGGACACATTTCCACCGGTCTAATGTCCATTGCTCGTGTTTCTTGGCCCAAGCAGGTCTCATCTTCTTATTGGTGTCCTTTAGTAGTGGTTTCTATGCAGCAATTCGACCATGAAGGTCTGATTCACACAGTCCCCTCTGAACAGTTGATGTTGAGATGTGTCTGTTACTTGAACTCTGTGAAGCATTTATTTGGGCTGCAATTTCTGAGGCTGGTAACTCTAATGAACTTATCCTCTGCAGCAGAGGTAACTCTGGGTCTTCCTTTCCTGTGGCGGTCCTCATGAGAGCCAGTTTCATCATAGCGCTTGATGGTTTTTGCGACTGCACTTGAAGAAACTTTCAACGTTCTTGAAATTTCCGTATTGACTGTCTTAAAGTAATGATGGACTGTCGTTTCTCTTTGCTTATTTGAGCTGTTCTTGCCATAATATGGACATGGTCTTTTACCAAATAGGGCTATCTTCTGTACACCCCCCCCCCCCCCTACCTTGCCATAACTCAACTGATTGGCTCAAACACATTAAGAAGGAAATAAATTCCACAAATTAACTTTTAACAAGGCAAACCTGTTAATTGAAATGCATTCCAGGTGACTACCTCATGAAGTTGGTTGAGAGAATGCCAAGAGTGTGCAAACCTATCATCAAGGCAAAGGGTGGCTATTTGAAGAATCTCAAATATAAAATCTATTTTGATTTGTTTAACACCTTTTTGGTTACTACATGATTCCATATGTGTTATTAGATTCAGCCGCAGGCTGATTTTTTATTTAACAGATGGTCAGGGGACCGGAACATAATTACAAATAATTTGTAGACCCGCGAGCCGCCAGTTGGGGAACCCTGTACTAAATCATTAGAGCAGGAGTGCCGCATTCGGTCTTCCACGAAGGCCTCACTTTAAATTGATTATATTTCCTCGCCGTCAAAATGAGCAACAAATGGTCCTCTATCCATTGCTTTTGGAATTTCCCCATGCTCCCTGACTGTCTAGCTTTCCTTCCAATGACGGTTAGGAAGCTGGACAGAGTGAAGAGACTGTAAATGTAGGTCCATTATAATTTCCAAGGCTCGACATTAAGGTTTTTCCGCTTGTCCGGGGCAAGTAAAAAAATTAATTGGACAACCAGAATATATAGATTTCAGCAACAAAAATCACAATATCAAACAATTACTCCGATCAGAATTGGATCAGGCAGCGCACAGCAGGGCAGTGCATGGTTGACATTGAGTAAATTGCCTATATTCCTATTTGCTATTGCCTATTTCAATAAATATGTTATATTTACACAAAGCAAGTTGCTCTGCTGCCCATGATGATTTACAACCCATCACAAGACACACAGCCAGCGAAGCTCGTTGACTGTGTCACTCGCTCCATTTGCATGCTTCGGCACAAACAGGTTAACATTTTGTTTTTTATTATTATTATTTATTTTTATTGTGATTTATCAGGGGGTGCTGCAGCACCCTCAGCACCCCTAATTCCCGCGGCTATGTGTACTTCACTCATTTTCAGTCACCCTTTTGGCCTATGGTGTTACAGACCTTTTTTGGGTGGGGACAAGTGACTTCAGCTTTCGGACAAGTAAAAAATCAGTCCTACTTGTCCCAAGGACAAGTGGCTAAAAAAGTTAATGTCAAGCCCTGATTTCTACACAGTTTCAATTTGGCTTTAGTCATTTCAATGGCGTAAAAAAATATATACAACAAAAAACACCTGCGGGCCGGATTGAATGGGCTCGCGGGCCAAATCCAGCCCACGGGACGAATGTTTGACACCCCTGCATTAGAGCAATCTTAAATATCCAAAGATTGTGTAATTCTTCAAATCAAGCTTTTTATTGATTTTCATTCCTATTTTGATTACAATGTTAGAATCTACAAATCAGTGGTGTAAGTGGGAAATCAATTATTTTGTGATCAACTGCTTGTGACAAAATCAAGTATTGCATCCCCCAAAGTAGCTAATGTGGTGATTGCATGGTACTATATGATCTGCCACCACAAAAAAAACTTTCCCCTAGCTACAGTATCATCCCTAAATATACACTACCGTTCAAAAGTTTGAGGTCACTTAGAAATGTCCTTGTTTTCGAAAGAAAAGCAATTTTTTTGTCCATTAAAATAACATCAAATTGATCAGAAATACAGTGCAGACATTGTTAATGTTGTAAATGGCTATTGTAGCTGGAAACGGCTGATTTTTTATGGAATATCTACATAGGCGTACAGAGGTCCATTATCAGCAACCATCAGTCCTGTGTTCCAATGGCACGTTGTGTTTGCTAATCCAAGTTTATCATTTTAAAAGGCTAATTGATCATTAGAAAACCCTTTTGCAATTATGTTAGCACAGCTGGAAACTGTTGTGATGATTAAAGAAGCAATAAAACTGGCCTTCTTGAGACTAGTTGAGTATCTGGAGCATCAGCAATTGTGGGTTCGATTACAGGCTCAAAATGGCCAGAAACAAATAACTTTCTTCTGACACTCGTCAGTCTATTCTTGTTCTGACAAATTCCATGCGAGAAATTGCCAAGAAACTGAAGATCTCGTACAACGCTGTGTACTACTCCCTTCACAGAACAGCGCAAACTGGCTCTAACCAGAATAGAAAGAGGAGTGGAGGCCCCGGTGCACAACTGAGCAAGAGGACAAATACATTAGAGTGTCTAGTTTGAGAAACAGACACCTCACAGGTCCTCAACTGGCAGCTTCATTAAATAGTACCCGCAAAACACCAGTCTCAACGTCAACAGTGAAGAGGCGACTCCGGGATGCTGAAATTCTAGGCAGAGTTGCAAAGAAAAAGCCATATCTCAGACTGGCCAATAAAAATAAAATATTAAGATGGGCAACAGAACACAGACACTGGACAGAGGAAGATTGGAAAAAAGTGTTATGGACAGACTAATCAAAGTTCAAGGTGTTCGGATCACAAAGAAGAACATTTGTGAGACGCAGACCAAATGAAAAGATGCTAGAGGAGTGCTTGATGCCATCTGTCAAGCATGGTGGAGGCAATGTGATGGTCTGGGGGTGCTTTGGTGGTGGTAAAGTGGGAGATTTGTACAGGGTAAAAGGGATCTTGAAGAAGGAAGGCTATCACTCCATTTTGCAACGCCATGCCATACCCTGTGGACGGCACTTGATTGGAGCCAATTTCCTCCTACAACAGGACAATGACCCAAAGCACAGCTCCAAACTGTGCAATAACTATTTAGGGAAGAAGCAGTCAGCTGGTATTCTGTCTATAATGGAGTGGCCAGCACAGTCACCGGATCTCAACCCTATTGAGCTGTTGTGGGAGCAGCTTGACCGTATGGTACGTAAGAAGTGCCCATCAAGCCAATCCAACTTGTGGGAGGTGCTTCAGGAAGCATGGGGTGAAATCTCTTCAGATTACCTCAACAAATTGACAACTAGAATGCCAAAGGTCTGCAAAGCTGTAATTGCTGCAAATGGAGGATTCTTTGACGAAAGCGAAGTTTGAAGGACACAATTATTATTACAATTAAAAATCATTATTTCTAACCTTGTCAATGACTACATTTCCTATTCATTTTGCTATATTTCCTATTCAAACTCATTTCATGTATGTTTTCATGGAAAACAAGGACATTTCTAAGTGACCCCCAACTTTTGAACGGTAGTGTACATTTACTGTGCATTCCATTAGTTAATAAGGAATATAATTATTTAGCTAACTGAATAATTATATGAGAGGATTAACATTTCACTCAAGTCCCCTATGCCATCTCAAGCAAAGGCCTTTTCACTCAATCCAGGGCACAAATAAGACCTATGACCTCACACTAAACACAAACTCAAGGCCGCTCTCGTCATAGAAATATAATTACTAGAGCTGACATCCCCATTCTAGTAATTATATTTATTGTGACCTCTAGCCAGCCTAACTGATCTAGGATCAGAGCTTGCCCTTTTTCTTCTTGGTCCTGGTCTTCCTTTTAGTCTTGGAGTCGATGATGAGCTGAGACTGGTGCTTCAGTATCGCCCTGGTGATAATGTCACCCTCGTCGTCCCCGCTCTCCTCCTCTTCTGAAAGAGAGGGAAAAGAGAAAGAGGGATTGAGAGAGCGAGCGAGAGAGAAAGTCTCATAGTCATCGTTTTTTAAAATGTTACTGTGTTTGTGTGTGTGCGTGTGTACATGTGTCTGATCCTATCTCACCATCATATGGGTCCTGTCTCTGAGCCTCAGGCAGCTTGATGCGGGTGTTGTAATGGGGCAGCTTCCCCTCGATGCTGGCATGGAACTGACGCAGCACCACAGACACAGACACAGAGACAATCAGACAGTTGTTCTCAGTCTGACCTCATAAGATGTGAAAGGGAACATTTTATTCAAGCAGGTCTGTTTATTCGACCATAGGAGTTGGCTATAAAGCACCAAGATCTGGGACCAGGGCTTATGCCTTCAAAATGCAAAGGCATACAACTTGAGACCAGTCAAAGTCAATGCCATTAGAGAATCCCAGACAGACATTGTTATATCACAAGCGCTAACGGTGTACCACCACCCGTACCCTCTGACTCTTGGAACACTCACCAGGGGGTGACTTCAAGGTTGCCGGCTGGCTGTGGCTCATTAACAATCAAGATCAAACACCTAATGGCTGTATTTCCATCCAGGTACAGATAAGCTATTCAAGCACCAGTGCACAGATTAAAATAACATGGGCTGTGTGTAGCATCTAGTCTGGCTGGTGTGGCTGGCAACCTTGGAGTAGAGTAGTGAATGGATGGAAAATAACCTGATGGTATTCAGGTCATAAAGCTTTACCCTGGCAGGACCTATTGGAGTAGGTGCTCCATATACTGTCTAAAACACCTGTCTGTCTCTACAATACCCAATTCACTGTTGGGAGCAGCAATCACTGAAAAATAATGAGTATACACATGAGTGTACTGTCAAACTGCCGTGGTCTAAGGGGCTTATTCCCATTCATTCAATTTCTATGGCAGCAACAATCAATGTTTAACGAATAAGGAAGAGTCCTATCCCTGATCCTCTCCTCCCTCTCCTCCTCCTACCTCCTCTTCCTCCATCTCCTTCATGATGGCGGCCAGGTCCTTTCCCTCCCCCTCTCCCTCCTCCTCCTCCTCCTCCTCCCCATCTCTCCTCCCCCTCCTCCCTCCTCACCTCCTCTTCCTCCATCTCCTTCATGATGGCGGCCAGGTCGTTCCCCTGGAGCTCCTCCTGCAGTAACAACAGCTTCTGTTCTGACTGGGACAGCAGCTCCACCACGTACTCCTCTGAGCCGGGGGGCAGCTGGGGGGCAGGGCCCTCACCCTGGAGGAGGGGAGAAGGTGTTTGAGGACAAAATTGACATAATGTTTCTGAGCACCTTCACATTTTTTTACAAGGTTGCCCAATGCAACTTCATCTAAACATTTAAAGATCTAAACAATTTGACAGGTCTCGGGTCAGTGTACATTATATTGTTAATGGGGTCTTCTCTGTACCAGTTTGATGTGCTGCAGTTTGTCAGATAGGTGTTCCACCCCGGCCCGGACCGTGTTCAGGGTACGGGTCAGCCAGTCCAGACGCTCCTTGGCGGCGTCGCGCCTCCCCTGCTCTGCCTGCAGGTGGTGCTTACAGTCTTCCAGCATCTGCTGACCACTGTAGAAGAAAGGACAGTAAGAAATATCCATCAGAATTACATTACAGACACACTCAACTCTAGGAGAGGAAACTTTCAGACCAACTTTTGTACCACAACTTGACAGTTAGTTGCTTGATTGGTCTTCTCCCACAATTTACAATCCCCCAAGATCGGTTCTGAGGTTCATTGTTTTAATAAATAATCAGCATCCACTTCCAACTTCTCTGGCCTGCTATGTTTGCTATGTAATCCCTAACCCTTGACCTCTAACCCCTGTCCACTGACCTGGAGAGCTTGGCCTCCCCGGAGTACTTAATGTCCTGGAAGTGTTTGTGCAGACGGTCCCTGTCCTCCTTCAGCTGTAGCAGGGTTCTGTGGTTCTCCTTCTTCAGATCCTCCAGGTGCTGCTGGGTGTCTCCCTGGGAGATGAACCTCTCCACCACCTCCTGCATAGGGACACAGAGATATATGAACACACACACATGCGCATACACACACAGGCAGATATATACCACAATTCAGAAGTTTGGACATACCTACTCATTCAAGGGTTTTTCTTTATTTTTACTATTTTCTACATTGTAGAATGCTGGAATGCTTTTCCAACAGTCTTGAAGGAGTTCCCACATATGCTGAGCAATTGTTGGCTGCTTTTCCTTCACTCTGAGGTCCAACTCATCCCAAACCATCTCAATTGGGTTGAGGTCGGGTGATTGTGGAGGCCAGGTCATCTGATGCAGCACTCCATCACTGTCCTTCTTGGTCAAATAGCCCTTACACAGCCTGGAGGTATGTTTTGGGTCATTGTCCTGTTGAAAAATTAATTGATAGTCCCACTAAGCGCAAATCAGATGGGATGGCGTATCGCTGCAGAATGCTGTGGTAGCCATGCTGGTTAAGTGTGCCTTGAATTCTAAATAAATCACAGACAGTGTCTCTAGCAAAGCACCCCCACACCATCACACCTCCTCCTCCATGCTTCACGGTGGGAACCACACATGCGGAGATCATCCGTTCACCTACTCTGCGTCTCACAAAGACACGGCAGTTGGAACCAAAAATCTCAAATTTGGACTCATCAGACCAAAGGAAAGATTTCCACCGGTCTAATGTCCATTGTTCGTGTTTCTTGGCCCAAGCAAGTCTCTTCTTCTTATTGGTGTCCTTTAGTAGTGGTTTCTTTGCAGGAATTCGACCATAAAGGCCTGATTCACGCAGTCTCCTCTGAACAGTTGATGTTGAGATGTGTCTGTTACTTGAACTCTGTGAAGCATTTATTGAGGGTGGTAACGCTAATGAACTTATCCTCTGCAGCAGAGGTAACTCTGGGTCTTCCTTTCCTGTGGCGGTCCTCATGAGAGCCAGTTTCATCATAGCGCTTGATGGTTTTTGCAACTGCACTTGAAGAAATTTCAAAGTTCTTGAAATGTTCCGTATTGACTGGCCTTCATGTCTTAAAGTAATGATGGACTGTCGTTTCTCTTTGCTTATTTGAGCTGTTTTTGCCATAATATGGACTTGGTCTTTTACCAAATAGGGCTATCTTCTGTTTACCAACCCTACCTTGTCACAACACAACTGATTGGCTCAAACGCATTAAGAAGGAAAGAAATTCCACAAATTAACAAGGCACACCTGTTAATTGAAATGCATTCCAGGTGACTACCTCATGAAGCTGGTTGAGAGAATGCCAAGAGTGTAAAAAGCTGTCATCAAAACACTTGTTTTGGTTACTACATGATTCCATATGTGTTATTTCATAGTTTTGATGTCTTCACTATTATTATACAATGTAGAAAATAGTAAAAATAAAGAAAAACCCTTGAATGAGTAGGTGTGTCCAAACTTTTGACTGGTACTGTAGATGAATACACACATACATGCGCACTCACAAGCATAAATAGGTGAAAAACACACCAAACTTGCATACACCACACATGGATACAGTAGGTGCATAAATAAACTAACACACGTACACACCTGCATACAAAGACACACAAACCCACTCAAAACTAAAGAATCATATATTTTACAATGACCTCCTCTCCGTACCTGTGTGTCAGTTACCCCTGTGGCCTCCTTAATGCGTCTGAAGGCTTCTTCGAAGGTGGAGATGGCCCTCTCCTCCTCCCCCAACCCGGTGGCACTGCGCTGGGCCTCGCTGCTCAGCTCGTCTGGCTGCATGGCTGCACGCTGGGCCTGGAGGGAAGGGGACAGACATCAGGACAGACATTTACTCTGTAGACAAAGTGAGATGTAAGAGGTGTAGATATATAGCTAAATAGAATGGACACAGCACCTCGTTTTATTTTCCTTGATATGGGTACGCCCAGTGCCGTTTCTAGGCATAAGCGACATAAGCGGATGCTTATTTGTATTTTTTTTAGGAAGTCAGTCGGGGTCTCAACTTACTGTTAGTTAGAATAGTAGAATACACAAGGTGCAATTTCAAAATGTGGTTGTGCATCAGCAGTTTGTCTCGTGTTATGTCAGTCACCTGACAGTCACTCAATTAGCCATGTCAGCTAACATGTTATAGATTGCTAGGTAAGTTGCTATCTAAACCTTGTAGTATTCCTGGCCGAATTACTGACTGGGCAAGCAAGGCACCTGCCCAGGGGCCAAAATGAGTAGAATCACATATGTTTTAATACTGCAAAATGTTCTATCTGCCCCAATTTGTAGAATTGCAGGACATTAACTTGACATTTTTTCAAGAGGGTGGCCACTGAAATGTTTTGCCCGCTAGGTGGGGGAGGCCCCAAACCAAATCTCACTTAGGGCCCCCAAAATACTATAAAACAGCCCTGGCTACACCTAATATGGCGGCCGGTCCATCCATCATGGAACTTTGACTTGAATAGGAATATCCATTCTTGTCATTGTTATTCTATGGATGTAACTGTAAAGTGGTGGTGACCCACCCTTCTCTCCACTCTCTCAGCCTGGGCCTTGCGCTCCTCTGCCTCCTTCTTGTAGCGGGTGAGGATACACTCTCTGTCCTTCCTCTCCCTATACATCTGGTCTTCTTGACGCTGCAGCTCTGCCTGAGAGAGAGCGAGAGAGAGAGAGAGAGAGAGAGAGATAGAAAGAGAGAGAGAGAGAGAGAGAGAGAGAGAGAGAGAGAGAGAGAGAGAGAGAGAAAGAGAGAGAGATAGATAGAGAGATCAAGACAAAAAAAGCATTAAACTCACAACAAATAGCTGTAAATGCAGACAGCTGGACTTCACATGATGGACACATCAATGACTATATGGTGATGCATGAAGAGGAGAGGTACGTGACGGTCCTCAGTTACAATAATAATAACCATGCTGGTCACCTTGGCAGTGTTTTTGGAGAGACGTGTGTGTGTGTATGTGTGCTGGTCACCTTGGCAGGCGTCTTTGGAGAGGAGTGCGTCACTGTTCATGACCTGCAGGTCCTTCAGCTCCTGTCTCTGTCTCAGGATCTCAGCCTCTAGTTTATCCAGCTGGGACTGGAAGGTCAGGCTCTCCTCCTAATTATAATATATGCCATTTAGCACACTCTTTTATCCAAAGCTACTTACATCAGTGAGTGCGGGTATGGGTAGCCCCAGCGGGAATCGAACCCACAACTTACCCACTGAGCCAAACAAGACAAAGAGCGAGGTAGGCTACTTTATCATCTATTAGGAAATTAGAGTAGGTCATGGAAAAGGATTCAACTACCCAAAGAGCACATTGGAGAGGGTTTGCGGCCATGGCTTGGTTAAATAAGGTTAGATGTGGGGCGAGTTAGCGAGACAGCACAAAGAGATCTGGGACCAGGCTAGGACTAACCTGTAGGTGGGCCTTTAGTTTCAGATAGCCCCTCATGATGTGTTCAGCCTCCTGGCACTTCAGCTGGGCTTTCTCCAGACGATTCTCCAGCACCCGCAAGTTCTGGAAGATGACACACACACACACAGGCAGACACACACACACAGGCAGACAACACACACACACTTATAGATGGTTGATTGATCCTGTGCTGGGCATGCTAAGTGTTTGAAAAGTTTCTGATTGTGACTAGACTGGCTAGAATCAGAAGGGTGAGGCAGCATGGAAGGAAGGAGCGTAACCTTTTGGGGATGCTCCTCAGCCGCCTTTCCTTCACTCTGTGGACCAAGGGCAACACATCAGTCACCTCCACTATATTCATACCACTATATTCACTAATTTGTGTGTGTCAGTCAGTCAGTCAGTCAGTCAGTCCGTCCTGTTTCCTTCTGTCTGTCTGTCTGTCTGTCTTCTGTCTGCCTGTCCTGCTGTCTGTCGTCTGTCTGTCTGTCTGTCTGTCTGTCTGTCTGTCGTCTGTCTGTCCTGCACTATATAGGGAATAGGGTTCCATTTGTCTCTATAATTGTACCTTGGCCTCCTCGTTGCGTCTCTCCGTGTCTCTCTCTGGTCCCCTGTTCTCTAGCTTCATCCTCTGGTACTGTGTCTGTAGGTCCTCCAGGCGACGGCGGTACGTCTGGGTGGTGTGCTTTAGAGCGTTCAGCTTCTTCATCTTGTCACACACCTTCTGGTCCAGCACCTTGAGAGCAGCCTGCTCACCAGGATGCAAAGTAGAGTAGAAAAGAGTAGATCATCTTCATTATCCCCAACGGGCAATTTGCTTTACATCAAAATATACATACAACAAACGAATATAGCCATGTGTTAGCGATGTCCCCACCTTCCCTGACATGTTTCTGAAGGCAGCTTTCTCATTGCCTCGGCTTTGGAAGGCCTCCTTTATCACCTGCTCGTCCCCCTGGATGAGAGAAAGAAAAAGCTCTGTAACAGGGAAGGACTACCTCAACTTGTCCAATAATAAACACTCCTTTTCATTTTCAGTTCCAAAATGTTTTGTTACGATGCACACTAATGAATACAACCCTGCACTCCAAAGTTCTAACAGGGGAAAAACAACCTGGGATGTACAAGTTGAGTATTGAAACCAAAACATTTTTGATAGAATAACCAGTTTTACTTACAGCAAGAGCGTCTGCCAACTTCTTGTGTAGTCTCTTGTTCTCCTGCCTCAGCTGAAGGATGGAATCCCTGTTTTTCTTGATGCTGGATTGAGAAATGTCATAGTATGCACTTCTGTCGCCCTCTGTTGGACGAATTCACAATTTAATTATTTCAGCATCCCCTGACTGACTTTTGGCCATCTCTTAGTCTTATTTAATGAAACAGTGAACTAGCTACACTACATTACCAAAAGTATGAGGACACCTGATCGTTGAACATCTCATTCCAAAATCATGGGCATTAGTATGGAGTTGGGCCCTTTGCTGCTATAACTGCCTCCACTCTTCTGGGAAGGCTTTCCACTAGATGTTGGAACATTGCTGCAGTGACTTGCTTCCATTCAGCAACAAGAGCATTAGTGAGGTCGGGCACTGATGTTGGGCGATTAGGCCTGGCTCGCAGTCAGCGTTCCAATTCATCCCAAAGGTGTTCGATGTGGTTGAGGTCAGGGCTCTGTGCAGGACAGTTAAGTTCTTCCACACCGATCTCGACAAACCATTGTATGTTGTAGCGTTAAGATTTCCCTTCACTGGAACTAAGGGGCCTAGCCCAAACCATGAAAAACAGCCCCAGACCATTATTTCTCCTCCACCAAATTGTACAGTTGGCACTATGCATTTGGGCAGGTAGCGTTCTCCTGGCATCCGCCAAACCCAGATTAATCCGTCGGACAGGCAGATGGTGAAGCGTGATTCATCACTCCAGAGAACGCGTTTCCACTGCTCCAGAGTCCAATATGCCGATCTTTACACCCCTCCAGCCACCGCTTGGCATTGTGCATGGTGATCTTAGGCTTGTGTGCTGCTGCTCGGCCATGGAAACCCATTTCATGAAGTTCCCGACTAACAGTTTTTGTGCTGACATTTCTTCCAAAGGCAGTTTGGAACTCGGTAGTGAGTGTTGCAACCGAGGACAGATGCGCTTCAGCACTCACCATTCTGTGAGCTTGTGTAGTCTACCACTTCGCGGCTGAGCCGTTGTTGCTCCTAGACGTTTTCACTTTACAATAACAACATTTACAGTTGACCGGGGCAGCTCTAGCAGGGCAGAAAGTGGTATCCTATGATGGTGCCATGTTGAAAGTCACTGAGCTCTTCAGTAAGGCCATTCTACTGCCAATGTTTGTCTATGGAGATTGCATGGCTGTGTGCTCGATTTTATACACCTGTCAGCAACGGGTGTGGCTGAAATAGCAGAATCCACTAATTTGAAGGGGTGTCCACATACTTTTGTATATATAGTGTATTTCATAAAAAGTTTAATGTCATTGGCATTTTTGGTCCCAAACTGTTCCCCATTACTCAATTAATTTTAATGGATAGGAAGATAGGCTAAAGCATTTTACTATTTCTAGCAACATGGCCTACCCATCACCTGACCTTGCAAAATGATTGCAACAAAGTAGATAGCTAACATTCTATCTTTCATCATAGCTTCATGTGGTCATATATTTCCCAGTGAGAGTAAAGTAACCTCACAGATGGAGGTAGCTAAGAATCTTTAGTATAATGTTAGCAAGATAGTGCTAATGCAAAGTCTGAATTTGCTATTCAACATGGCGTTCACACACGCACAACTAGGCCTAGCTATTTAACTAGCATTCGTACGTTACCGGTACCAGCCTAGCTAGCCTGCTGCAACTACTTCACCTACCAAGAAGTTGAATTTTCCTCTGCAGTTCTGTTATTTGGTCATGAAGGGGCGGCTTAATGACCTCGGCGCTGAACGGCATTTTCAGTGTGCACTAATCACAAACTAATAATCGACTTTAGAAATAGCTCTAGCTAGCATTAGATTTAAACCGACGCATCTTTTAGGTAGTTTTATCATTGTATGGGCGGATTTGGCGTGAAAACACCTTCGGTCAGAGCCTCTCGTTGCCTAGCAACCTGTACACTGACTTTCCTATCAGGTCGAGGCTCGAGACGGAACACAAACTAGAACAAACCGAGCAACAAAGCAGCACCGACTAGACTTCAGTTCACTTTAATTATGCATTTTTCTAGATACAACAACTTTCAATAATAATTTAGTATGTAGCAGTAAAAAAAAAAAAAAGCTTTATTATTTACAACACATCCTGCTCGAAAAACACACGTTTACACAATCCTCTTGAAAATTAAATATACAAAAGCATGCATTTGAGATAAAGTCAATGGTCCATGGGGCCAGCAGGCCAAATTTCACATATTTGTCTACTTTGGGGTGGCAAAGTCTAATGATGATTTTCATTTAGGTCCATGTCTGTGGGTTATATTTTGGTATGATACCCATGATTCTGAGGTAGTTAAATGTGGGTATCACTGCATTTTATGTTATGACCCTGTTAGTTGGGCCAACAGGATTGATGGTATGAAATAATTTTGTATTATCAGGGAACAATCTTCTCAAATTAGGGAATTTGCTATGTTATTAACTTCATAATACAACATATTAAGGTATGAAACAACTGGAATGGTAATGACATCTCTATGGGCCCATCTTTGGGGGTCAAAGGTCATAAATGTATGCATTTAGGGGTATATCAATACAGAATGGGAAGTATACAAATATATAGTTATGCTATTTGTAACATTGTTGTTTCAATGATGAGTCAGTCTAGGTAAATCATTTGATGAGATGGCAAAAATGTACCAAATACCATTTTTAAAGATGAGATCCACCCAATAGAATGTTCCATTGTTGTTTGATACAGTCATTTTCAATGAGCATGTGAACATTCCAATTTGCCTTAACATTTATTTATCCGCCTGCGAACATTCTATTGCATAGACTACCATACAACAAGCCATATAAAGGTGTGAAAAACATAGAAAGCTACTCTTTTGGAGTGGGTCTCATATATCAATTTGTTCATAGGAATGGGGGAAATAAGATGAGACTATTAAACCTGGGGTGGCAACAAACCTTCAGTCCCAAAACTAATACTGCATTCTGACATGTTTTCTGCATATTACAGTAAATATACACTGTAATATGCAGCCTTTATACAACGCTCAACAGTAGCAATAGTGAAAAATAATATTATTAACAAACCTGATGCAAAAATGATTTAGCATTTAAGCAAAACCTTTTTGTAAATGAAATTTCAGAAAATCTATGTAATTCATTCTACATTTGAGAAAACTGACAAAAACCTGGAGAATTCATGTAAAACGGTATTAAAATGGTTTAAATTGAACACATAAAACACTTAAAAGTTCAGAGTCAGCCACAAACAAAAAATTAATAAAAGGAATCAAAGTTTTGTAGGTTTTGTAAGTTCAAAGTGAGTTTCAAGAGGACTGTTTCAAAAGTAAAACAGCCTAGCCAAACAAAAAGGCACAACAAAAAGCAACAACAAAAATTCTAATAAAACATGAACAGATTTACATCTTAAAAAATTAAAAATATTCTAAGCTCCCACTGTGTCATAGACACCTTCTGTGGGAAACGCAATGGGATATGTTGGCTACTCATTCAGACCGCTCTGCTTGTGACAATGGCATCCTTCTGTAGCCATACAGTATCATGATCTTAAGGCACATTCTATACATACAGCACACTGCGCAGGCAAGGCGGCTTCTCTGTTCTCCTCACACACACATACACGCATGCACACACCCACCCACACACACACACACACACACACACAGTTAGTCTACAGTCTTGGTCTGATCCTCATTGGACTTCTTCAGAATGGTGAGAAGGTTCTGAGACATGAAGTAGGGTCTCTCTGCAGTTCCGTCGTTGCGTTCCAGGTCTTCCACTGGAAAATCAATGAATTGATGAAACAACAATAAGAGAACCAACCATTGTCAAACTAAACATCTCTTCAGGTAAAACAGTATCCTATTCCTAACAACATAAAGGGATGGTTTCACAGACACAGTCTAAGCTTAATCCTGTACTGAAAAGCTTGCATTGATGAAAGTGCTTTTTTAGTCCAGGACTACATTTATTAAGTCTGTATCTGGGAAACTGTCCCAAAGTGAATAGAAACTCACCATTGTGTCACTCTCCCACTGTCCTATCATCATTTGATATGATTACATTTGTCATTTACATGCAAAAAAACGGTCTTGTGATCAATACAACAAACTTTAATCAACAGCTGCATCCAACAGAAGCAAACTGAGTCGAATGTATCATATATAAGTGAAATACTACATCAGCTAACATGTTTACAATGTGACACACACTGACAGAAACAGATAGAAAACACTGACATTAGGTTGCAAGGTTAGTTTTGATTAAGCACTCAATAGGCAATGTTACTGAAACACCATGCAGCACAGAGGTAGGAAGAAGAGAGTGAGAGACAGAAAGAGAGAGAGACAGAAAGAGAGAGGGAAGAAAACAAAGGTAAATAGAGTCAGTAAACATTGAACAGGGCTTGCAGGGTCGTATTCATTAGGCCATACAGCGGAAAACGTTTAAAAACGTTTCGCTATGGAAAATATAAATAAGCGTTTCTTATTGGACAAGTTCAGGTAGTCCCTCCCCGTTTCAGCTAATTTGCTTCCGTTTTGTGCCCAGTTAATACCACTGGAGGCTGCTGAGGGGAGGACGGCTCATAATAAGGGCCGGAACGGAGTAAATGGAATGGCATCAAACACGTTGAAACCATGTGTTTGATGTATTTGATACCATTTCACTGATTCCGCTCCAGCCATTACCAAGAGCCTGTCCTCCCCAATTAAAGTGCCACCAACCTCCTGTGGTTAATACGACCCAGATCTGAGAGGTTAAAACAATTGCATCACAGCAACACAATCACAGCAGTTAAGCCAGTCTGAAATTCCAAGACAAGTACAGTGAGGGAAAAAAGTATTTGATCCCCTGCTGATTTTGTACATTTGCCCACTGACAAAGAAATGATCAGTCTATAATTTTAATGTTAGGTTTATTTGAACAGTGAGAGACAGAATAACAACAACAAAATCCAGAAAAACGCATGTCAAAAATGTTATAAATTGATTTGCATTTTAATGAGGGAAATAAGAATTTGACCCCCTCTCAATCAGAAAGATTTCTGGCTCCCAGGTGTCTTTTATACAGGTAACGAGCTGAGATTAGGAGCACACTCTTAAAGGGAGTGCTCCTAATCTCAATTTGTTACCTGTATAAAAGACACCTGTCCACAGAAGCAATCAATCAATCAGATTCCAAACTCTCCACCATGGCCAAGACCAAAGAGCTCTCCAAGGATGTTAGGGACAAGATTGTAGACCTACACAAGGCTGGAATGGACTACAAGACCATCGCCAAGCAGCTTGGTGAGAAGGTGACAACAGTTGGTGCGATTATTCGCAAATGGAAGAAACACAAAATAACTGTCAATCTCCCTTGGCCTGGGGCTCCATGCAAGATCTCACCTCGTGGAGTTGCAATGATCATGAGAACGGTGAGGAATCAGCCCAGAACTACACGGGAGGATCTTGTCAATGATCTCAAGGCAGCTGGGACCATAGTCACCAAGAAAACAATTGGTAACACACTACGCCGTGAAGGACTGAAATCCTGCTGCGCACGCAAGGTCCCCCTGCTCAAGAAAGCACATATACAGGCCTGTCTGAAGTTTGCCAATGAACATCTGAATGATTCAGAGGAGAACTGGGTGAAAGTGTTGTGGTCAGATGAGACCAAAATCTTTGGCATCAACTCAACTCGCCGTGTTTGGAGGAGGAGGAATGCTGCCTATGACCCCAAGAACACCATCCCCACTGTCAAACATGGAGGTGGAAACATTATGTTGTGTTTTTCTGCTAAGGGGACAGGACAACTTCACCGCATCAAAGGGACGATGGACGGGGCCATGTACCGTCAAATCTTGGGTGAGAACCTCCTTCCCTCAGCCAGGGCATTGAAAATGGGTCGTGGATGGGTATTCCAGCATGACAATGACCCAAAACACACGGCCAAGGCAACAAAGGAGTGGCTCAAGAAGAAGCACATTAAGGTCCTGGAGTGGCCTAGCCAGTCTCCAGACCTTAATCCCATAGAAAATCTGTGGAGGGAGCTGAAGGTTCGAGTTGCCAAACGTCAGCCTCGAAACCTTAATGACTTGGAGAAGATCTGTAAAGAGGAGTGGAACAAAATCCCTCCTGAGATGTGTGCAAACCTGGTGGCCAACTACAAGAAATGTCTGACCTCTGTGATTGCCAACAAGGGTTTTGCCACCAAGTACTAAGTCATGTTTTGCAGAGGGGTCAAATACTTATTTCCCTCATTAAAATGCAAATCAATTTATAACATTTTTGACATGCGTTTTTCTGGATTTTTTTGTTTTTATTCTGTCTCTCACTGTTCAAATAAACCTACCATTAAAATTATAGACTGATCATGTCTTTGTCAGTGGGCAAACGTACAAAATCAGCAGGGGATCAAATACTTTTTTCCCTCACTGTAGTTGGTGGCGTTTCAATACAATACATTGAGTCTAAAAACGTGTTCTTGGCTGGAGGGAGCATCTATATAATTGATACAAAAAATAAATAACTACATACATATGTAATAAGACATAATAAGCATACAAATTAGTAAATACATACTGTACATACACATTGATTCCATTGGAAATCCCATTTTCATATCAAAGGATATCAAAGGATTTTACCATTTGGTGTCAGCTGGTATCAATGTAAACATTGTTAATTTTCACCGTTAGTTGCAGTTCTGTTTGGATTGACTGTAAACATTGTAATAGTGGATTCATAGTGCATTCATTACTCATTAACTCATGATATTAAGACAATTAAATATTAATAATGACATTTGTAGTAGTCAGGCACAGGTTCAGCACTCACAGATCTACAGATCCTCACGATAAAAAAACAACACTGTCTAAAACCAAACCAACACAATAAATTAATAATAAATAAATAAACATAAAAATATTTTCAAGCTACAGAGATGCACTGGGTTTTTGATCAGCCTTTTACAACCACAGGACCTTGTTAAAACCAGCTACCTTTACGTTAAAACAACCCTATGTGTGAATACAATAAATTAGCACAAGTCTTGCATTTAAAAGCTGGTCATACATTTAACTGTTTCAAATCACACAGTCGTTAGCATAGAATTACATATTAGCATAGAATTACATATTAGGTCGTTAGTAACAGGTACTGTATACTGGCTCCATACGGCACATGTTATATGAGTAGGGCCAGGAGTTTTTCCTGTCCTAGTTATGAGGTTTACCAAGCTTCACGTCTCCATGACAACATTAACTACTACTCCTGGGGTGTAGAAGGAGGGTCTTTAGGCTCCGCCTCTTGAGGTTTCTTTTCCTCTGTCTCTTCCTTTTCAGGTTCTGTCGGCTGGTGATCCTTCTCTTCAGGCTTGTCCTCGTTTGATTCCTTTTCTTCCACTCGTTCCTCCTCTTCTGGTCCCTTCTTTTCTAGTTCCTTCTCTTCAGATTTCTCCTCTTGTGGTTCTTCCACTTCCGCAGCTTCGGTCTTCTCCTTCAGAGGTTGCTCCTCTTCGTTGACCTGCATGAACACATCTTGGCGTTTCAGTTGTATCTCTCCATCTTGTTCTTTCAGTGGTACCTCCTCCTCCAGGCGAACTTCGTCCATCTGTGTAGGTTCACTTGGGTCAGCGTCTGGCTGTTCCATACCATCTTTGTTATCCTCTTCCTCCGCCATTTTGGTTTTGGAGAGAATCTCGTGAAGCTCCGGAGACATGAAATACGGCCTTTCTGGGGAGCCGTCGTTTCTCTCCAGGTCTTCGCCTTCGTTGTGTGTGTGTTTGATGTGTATTATGGGGTTAATGTTTGTTCGGGTTAGTGGAAAAAAAGAACAGAACCAAAAAGTGTGGAATAAGAAATAGTGAAGTGTGAAATAAGGAGGAAAGAGACAAACAGAAGGAAAAGTCAGAAACATGACAGGCAAAAGAGGAATCTCAGGTAAAAAGAGCATTTCAGGTTTGGAAAGTTGTGTGAGTGATTAAAGAGTATATTAATAAAATAGGATATTACTCACAGAAGCAGAGGAAGAGTGTGTCCACACACATGGCGTACACACTGAAGAATCCATGGGCAATCAGGTAGGATCCCACCACCACCGTCTAGGAAGAGAGAAACAGTTACAAACACAGTGTTGGAATCAATACAAACACCACTTACAGACACGCTATGGCAGTGTTTCTCAGCTTTGGATCCGTAGACTGGTCCTGGGATAATGCTGACCAGTTTTAATGTAAGGGTCCTATTAATAAGTATGACCTTAGCTTACCAATCCCTAGCACAATGAACGTTGAGAAACATGGCTCGATGTAACAGTATAAGAGTTCATTCAGGCCTGTCTCTCACCAGAATGGGAACCCAGTAGTAGTTGAGAGAGGGTGCAGTCTGCTCCACAGCCTTGATCCTCCCAGAGAAGAAGAAGAAAGAACAGATTCCTAGAAAGAGAAGAAGAGATGCATATGATTAGGATATGAGGGCTTACTGAAAGGTATCACAGATGGTGGGCAAACTGTACTAGGTGTAAATTAAGTCTCTCTGCTTGTGTTTCTGAGGATCACTTACCCACAATTCCAACGATGAGGAGCTTCCCCAAAAACAACAGAAAGTCAGTCACCTTGTCCAAGACAGCCACCCTGAGAAGCCAACAGAGAAAGGAATCAAAAGAGACAGAAAACCAAAGAGATAAATGTATACTGTATATATGAATGGAGACGTGGAGTTGTTAAAGATGCTATTGCTCTTCAGAAAAGGTCCCAAAGGCTGGGGTTTGTGAAGGAGTTGTGAAGGAGTTGTGAAGGGTTTATGAAGGGTGTCTCAGTAGTCAACAACACTCACCTGATTATATTTCTCATGAGGAGGAAGAAGGCATCTCTGGCTGAGGTACAGAAGCTTTTACCGTATATCGCCACCTAGGGGAATCATGTGGTGTTACATACAGTGTCAACACAGTCTTTAATTCACACTGTTCACACAGTTTTTAAATCAAACAGTTCACACAGTCTTTAATTCACACAGTTCACACAGTCTTTAATTCACACAGTCTTTAATTCACACAGTTCACACAGTCTTCAATTCACACAGTTCACACAGTCTTCAATTCACACAGTCTTTAATTCACACAGTTCACACAGTCTTCAATTCACACAGTCTTCAATTCACACAGTTCACACAGTCTTTAACTCACAAAGAACTTCAATTCGCACAGTTATGTAGATGAACTCACCATGATGTAGGCATTTCTGTTGAGGAACTTGATGAATTTCTCCAGGCACCAGAAGCAGCACTTCAGGCAGCTGAGTAGGAACTTGGCAAAGCGATTCTGGGCAGCTAGTGGGTTAAATAACAACAAACAGGAGATAATAATCTGTTCCTATTCATTTCGACAACAACCATCTATTAAAATGTAACAGTTAGTAGTGAAATTTTTTGGTCCATTTCCCACTGTATGATGTCAATGAGGAAGTATCCCAGTTATCCACGTCTGAGAATGGAACAGGATATGTGAGAACACCACCTCACCTTTCAGCTTGTGGTCCAGGTACTCCAGCAGAACCCTGATGACCTGAACCAGAGACAAGATGAGGGAGCCGAAGGCCAGGGAGCCTGTATGGTATCTAGACAGGGGGAAGAAGGTCAAAGATGGTGCCCAAATTATAGGTCTCTCACTAACTCTCCACGCACCCCTCTCTTTATTTCACTCACTCACACACACATTCCCCTCCCCCACCCACATGCACTGTTCCCACACACACACACCACACACATGCACCCAAACCCCCCCCCCCCCCCCATCCCATACACACTGCCCCTCCTACCTGAGGGCTCGACCGAGCGAGGAGAAGATGGGGTTGGCTGGGATGTCGTCAGGTTTCTTGAAGGCCCAGTAGTAGGATGCGAAGGCACCAGCCAGGGTCACCTGACCCAGCGCCGTCACAAAGTTAGCGCACCAGAAGAAGAGGAACACGTTGTAGAACTGGAACACGATGAGGTATTTATGGTAGTAGGTCTCTCCTCCGTAGAAGGCAAACAGGCACTCGGCGTCCGGGCACTGTGCTGTGATGTTGGTGTTGTTGAAAGTCTTAGGAAAGAGAGGGGAAATTCTCTGTGATATTGGCACTTCTGCTGGTATTAAAGGAGTAGTCCACTCAAAAATACAAATTCATGGTTATTTATATTCAATAAATGAGGAAAAAAGCCGTTTTTGAACACTATATACATATAGAATAGAAGGAACATATACAAGTTTTTTTTATTAAGTCTGACATGTAAACAGGCAGATATGTAAGAACAGAGACATCTCATGGCTCACCTCGGGATTGCAGGTGTCTCTGGAGTACTCACACTCAGTGGTGTTGAACACTTTGTACACCTGCTCATTGGAGGTTGACAAGAAGCTGGGAAAGGCGGTCAAGGAGGTTCCATCACTAAGGAAGTAGATACTGAGACATGTCATACAGACGTGATCATCTGTATAGAAACATTATGGATACATTTAGTTTCTGCAGCGATGACTTGTGGAGGAGTTGTCCCAGTTATTTTCCTTGACGGTCCCAGTCTGTCCACATTTCAATCTGCACGGTTACGTTTATCATCTATAGCTATCTAGAGTAGCTCTACAACAAAACCTAGACCTAAAAGTAATCTAGTACATTTTACACCATTACAAGAACACTTATTTTCCCTTGACAGACAAGTAAACATGAATAACATGACTGACAGCTGAAGGATACACAGCAGTGATGGCCCAGTAGGCAATGACCAGGGCCAGGAGGGCAAAGGTCAACAGAGGGTAGAACAGTGATGACATCACATGGCCAACAGCCCTGCTGGCCTCCTTGATGAGGGCGATGGCGATTAGGACTCTCTTCCTGAGGAAGATGAGCAGCAGGATGATGACCACCTCCACAATGGACAGGATGATTACTGACGGAGGAGAGGAGCACTGTTAGAGTGTGTGTTTGTCTCAACTTGAGAGGAAGTGAGAGAGAGAGGGGGAGAGAGAGAGAGAGAGAGAGAGAGAGCGGAGAGAGAGAAGAGAGAGAGAGAGAGAGAGAGATAGAGAGAGAGAGAGAGAGAGAGAGAGACTAGCACGATCTCTCTCCCCTCCCTCGCCTCTGCTTCGTGCTTTCTGTCGTAGGGAAGGTCCATGGGAGACAGAAAAAGAGAGACATCCTGCCAAATGTATGACCACATTAGAGACACATATTTCCCTCAGATTACAGAGATCCACAAAGAATTCGAAAACAAACCCAATTTTGATAAACTCCCTTATCTACTGGGTGAAAAACCACAGTGTGCAATCACAGCTGCAAGATTTGTGACCTGTTGCCACAAGAAAAGGGCAACCAGTGAAGAACAAACACCATTGTAAATACAACCCATATTTATGTTGATTTATTTTCCCATTTGTACTTTACCTATTTGCACATTGCTACAACACTGTATATATATAATATAACATTTGAAATGTCTTTATTATTTTGGAACTTCTGAGTGTAATGTTTACTGTTAATATTTATTGTTTATTTCACTTTTGTTTACTATCTACTTCACTTGCTTTGGCAATGTTAACATACGTTTCCCATGCCAATAAAGCCCTTAAATTGAAATTGAATTGAGAGAGCGAGAGCGAGAGAGAGAGAGAGAGAGAGAGAGAGAGAGAGAGAGAGAGAGAGAGAGAGAGAGAGAGAGAGAGAGGGAGAGAGAGGGGGCGGGGGGGAGAGAAGGAGAGAGAATGAGTGCATGTACTCACTGAAAGCCAGCCAGGTCTGTCTGATCTGCAGGTAAACAGAGAAGTCTGTCTGCAGTCCCAGGTCACGGATAGTGACGTCAGCACCCGGCTCTCCCTTCAGGTTGCGGTACTCCATGGCACAATGGAAGATCCCTAAACATTTTAAAGGTAAGAGTCAGCGAAATGACGTTGCATGAGCATCACTGCAGATATTGCAATGAGCAAGATGCATGACTTCCCTCTCACACAGTGGCGCACAGTATCTGCGAATGTGTACAGGGTTCGCTTCACGCCATTACAGCCTGGTAGCCATTGGACCAAATCAGCAGAGAAGTTTAGCATTGCACTCCAACGCTCTTAGTGAAATTTACCCACTATGCTGTTTACTTACTGCACCTACGTCATATCCCTCTAACATTTCTTAATGGCTAACTTGACAAAGCACAATGTTAAAATGCTTCTTTTGAATGGTACTTTAAATAGGTAAAACAACAGTGTGTTTTCAGTTAGACAGGTTTTAGGAAAAGGGAGTATCATACCATATCCGATGACCAGTATCACCATGACGATCATGACCCAGATCATGATCCCGGCCAGGTAGCGCAGGAGGACGATGAAGATGAGACTGACCACCATGGCTATCACCAGACCACTGGAGGAGACAGGAAATAACATTCAAATTCACAGACCTTTATTAAGATAATAATATAATAATAATAATAATAATATGCCATTTAGCAGACGCTTTTATCCAAAGCGACTTACAGTCATGTGGCATACATTTTTACGTATGGGTGGTCCCGGGGATCGAACCCACTACCCTGGCGTTACAAGCGCCATGCTCTACCAATGAGACTGACCCCCCCACTATCACCAGACCACTGGTGGAATACAGATAATAACATAATAATAACACACTTTGTTGTTCCTGTGAGGGAACACCCATCTCTATGGGGAAATGTTTACTCAGCAATACATTATTGGGATAATAGGCATATAGAGCGTGCAACTTTCTTTATTGTCTTGTGTGATGAGTGTGTTTAACACGGAGAGATACTCACAGCAGTATCCAGTACCAGGACACAGTGTAGTCCTCAAAGATCCTCATGGCTACCTGGCGAGCCTCAACAACCACATTGGACTTCCTGTAAGAACAACAACAAGTCCACTTATCACTTTGCTAACAATTGACGGACAGACGGATAGACGGACGGACAGACAGATTGATACGTTGGTTGGTAGGTTGAGTGATTAATTAATATATCGACGATGCATTCAGGTTGAGGCATGAGGACTCACTTTGCCGCGTCCAGGAAATCCGTGGCGTTCACATTCTCCCCCTCCCCGTTGTCAAAAATAGTCTCGTTGCCAACGACGACCACACCACCTTTCATGGTCCTGAGAGCTGGGAGGCACCGACGAGTGACTGGAGGGAGAGGAGAGAGAGTGGAGATTAAGAATCATTGACCGTGTGGTCAATACATTTACTAAATCTTCATCAAAACACACACGCGTGCTCCACACACACACACACACACACACACACACACACACACACACACACACACACACACACACACACACACACACACACACACACACACACACACACACACACACACACACACACACACACACACACACACACACACACACACACAGTGCACACAGTGCACACTATGGCTCGTGAGAAGACTTACAGGGTTTGCTAGACATGAGCATGGAAGGACACAGGCCATCCCTCAGGATCTCAGGAGCACTCTGCAAAACACAACAAAATCACCCTTAGTTACACATTATTTCATTAACTACCTACTTTGCCACTGCAAATGTGTCTCCTCTGTCGCCCACCATTTTGGAGAAGTCCACTTCTTCCTTGCAGAACTGCTTGTAGTACTCCTGGTCTCCTTTGTTCAGATAGGCTTTCAGCAACGTCATGTGTTTGGTAGGACAGCTCTCCACACATAACTGAGTGGTGGGGCACTGGAACTCCAGCAGGGTCAGGGGACTGGCACACTTCAGGATGTTGAAGTAGAACAGGAGAGGCTTCTTCCTGTTAGAGACAGTTATATAGTAGTTCATATGTAGAGACAGTTATACAGTAGTTAATATGTAGAGACAGTTATATAGTAGTTCATATGTAGAGACAGTTATATAGTAGTTAATATGTAGAGACAGTTATATAGTAGTTAATATGTAGAGACAGTTATATAGTAGTTAATATGTAGAGACAGTTATATAGTAGTTAATATGTAGAGACAGTTATATAGTAGTTAATATGTAGAGACAGTTATATAGTAGTTAATATGTAGAGACAGTTATATAGTAGTTAGTATGTAGAGACAGTTATACAGTAGTTAATATGTAGAGACAGTTATATAGTAGTTAGTATGTAGAGACAGTTATATAGTAGTTAATATGTAGAGACAGTTATACAGTAGTTAATATGTAGAGACAGTTATATAGTAGTTAATATGTAGAGACAGTTATATAGTAGTTAATATGTAGAGACAGTTATATAGTAGTTAATATGTAGAGACAGTTATACAGTAGTTAATATGTAGACAGTTATACAGTAGTTAATATGTAGAGACAGTTATAAGACAGTTATATAGTAGTTAGTATGTAGAGACAGTTATATAGTAGTTAATATGTAGAGACAGTTATATAGTAGTTAATATGTAGAGACAGTTATATAGTAGTTAATATGTAGAGACAGTTATATAGTAGTTAATATGTAGAGACAGTTATATAGTAGTTAATATGTACAGGAAGTACATATACAGTGAGGGAAAAAAGTATTTAATCCCCTGCTGATTTTGTACGTTTGCCCACTGACAAAGACATGATCAGTCTATAATTTTAATGGTAGGTTTATTTGAACAGTGAGAGACAGAATAACAACAACAAAAAACAGAAAGACGCATGTCAAAAATTATATAAATTGATTTGCATTTTAATGAGGGAAATAAGTATTTGACCCCTCTGCAAAACATGACTTAGTACTTGGTGGCAAAACCCTTGTTGGCAATCACAGAGGTCAGACGTTTCTTGTAGTTGGCCACCAGGTTTGCACACATCTCAGGAGGGATTTTGTCCCACTCCTCTTTGCAGATCTTCTCCAAGTCATTAAGGTTTCATATTTTCTATGGGATTAAGGTCTGGAGACTGGCTAGGCCACTTCAGGACCTTAATGTGCTTCTTCTTGAGCCACTCCTTTGTTGCCTTGGCCGTGTGTTTTGGGTCATTGTCATGCTGGAATACCCATCCACGACCCATTTTCAATGTCCTGGCTGAGGGAAGGAGGTTCTCACCCAAGATTTGACGGTACATGGCGCCGTCCATCGTCCCTTTGATGCGGTGAAGTTGTCCTGTCCCCTTAGCAGAAAAACACCCCCAAAGCATAATGTTTCCACCTCCATGTTTGACGGTGGGGATGGTGTTCTTGGGGTCATAGGCAGCATTCCTCCTCCTCCAAACACGGCGAGTTGAGTTGATGCCAAAGAACTCGATTTGTCTCATCTGACCACAACACTTTCACCCAGTTCTCCTCTGAATCATTCAGATGTTCATTGGCAAACTTCAAACGGCCCTGTATATGTGCTTTCTTGAGCAGGGGGACCTTGCGGGCGCAGTGGGATTTCAGTCCTTCACGGCGTAGTGTGTTACCAATAGTTTTCTTGGTGACTATGGTCCCAGCTGCCTTGAGATCATTGACAAGATCCTCCAGTGTAGTTCTGGGCTGATTCCTCACCGTTCTCATGATCATTGCAACTCCACGAGGTGAGATCTTGCATGGAGCCCCAGGCCGAGGGAGATTGACAGTTCTTTTGTGTTTCTTCCATTTGCAAATAATCGCACCAACTGTTGTCACCTTCTCATCAAGCTGCTTGGCGATGGTCTTGTAGCTCATTCCAGCCTTGTGTAGGTCTACAATCTTGTCCCTGACATCCTTGGAGAGCTCTTTGGTCTTGGCCATGGTGGAGAGTTTGGAATCCGATTGATTGCTTCTGTGGACAGGTTTCTTTTATACAGGTAAGAAACTGAGATTAGGAGCACTCCCTTTAAGAGTGTGCTCCTAATCTCAGCTCGTTACCTGTATAAAAGACACCTGGGAGCCAGAAATCTTTCTGATTGAGAGGGGTCAAATACTTATTTCCCTCATTAAAATGCAAATCAATTTCTAACATTTTTTACATGCGTTTTTCTGGATTTTTTTGTTGTTATTTTGTCTCTCACTGTTCAAATAAACCTACCATTAAAATTACAGACTGATCATTTCTTTGTCAGTGGGCAAACGTACAAAATCAGCAGGGGATCAAATACTTTTTTCCCTCACTGTACATCCTTCAGGGCGTTCTTTTTTATTTTCACACAGCAGGGTGTTACAGGCTCACCACAGGGCATCAGGATAATACCACAAAAGACATTAACACAAAGAGACAGATAATAGCTTGACATGTGAATGGACAAGAGGAATTCTAAAGGATCAGAAATGAAGAGAGATGTTCAAAGGCAGAATAGCTAGGGGGGTAATTGAAGGGACTTACTCCAGGGGGGTCCCGGCCTGGCCACAGAACTGTCCTCTGCTGTCAGTGGGGTAGATTACCTTCCTGGGGTCCCCCTGAGACCAGGCTGGAGTAGGAGGAAGTATAACAACACTGTAGTTCAGATACAGTCCAGTTATCATAACAACACACAATTGAATAGAATCACTTCAAATAGAATAGAATATCACTTTACAGTGTCTTGTTAGGGCCTTGTGTTTTGGTTAATCATGTCACATGACCTGGATTTTAACCTTTAATTAAAGCTTTTTCATCAAACTGTCCCCTTTCCTTTTTCTGTCTGATGGCCGAGCACCATCCTCAGACAATTGCTTTCATTTTTGGTCCAATTACCATTTCTGGAAAAGGCTTAAAATAAAAGTTCAAATCCAGGTCATGTGACATGATTAACCAAAACACAGGGCCCTTGGACTGATGTAACGGCCAGTAATAGTGTAGTTTTGGAGACACTCACCCAGGATCCCAACAGCAAAGTATCCCAGTATGGCCAAGATGAAGAGAATACAGCAGAACACATCTGTGCAGCCCCTGGCAATCACAGAGAGAGAGAGAGAGAGAGAGAGAGAGAGAGAGAGAGAGAGAGAGAGAGAGAGAGAGAGAGAGAGAGAGAGAGAGAGAGAGCGAGAGAGAGAGAGAGAGAGAGAGAGAGAGAGAGAGAGAGAGAGAGAGCGAGAGAGGAGGAGAGGAGAGAGAGAGAGAGAGAGAGAGAGAGAGAGAGAGAGAGAGAGAGAGAGAGATGGTTAGACTGCTATTTTTTGACGTTGAGCTTTATTGAGCTTTGCTATGTGGGTAATTGGTAGAGTGAGGATTGGCTGTCAAAGCTGATAATGAGATGATTACCTGTTGTGGATGGGTCCTTTGAAGGTGGGGTCAAACTTCCTTGCTTCACCTGTGAACAAGCAAATCGAGAGAGAGCTTAGTTTTTGTTTAGTTTTTACATTTATACACAGGTGTGTGTACGTGTGCATACGTGAGTGTGTTTCTGTGTGTTTATATCTGTGTGTATCAGTATATCTGTATGTGTGTGTACATTGACAAAGCTGGGACATATTTTCCATAACAAAAGGATTCTCCCGCGAGACTGACATGCCTAGCAACCCACAAAATGGCTCCCCGGTGACTCAGAGCTCCCGGTGGACATTCCTAGGTGCCATAGTAATGCTATGGTAACATCTCAGAGACTAGAGAGACGCCACATCAGACAGCGCATCTACTCAATTCACCATAGTCTGTTAGCAGAGCAAGACAGTTATAATGTTGTGTACACAGTCTACAATGTTCCTGATACAATGTATTCTACATAACATCTGGAAACCAATAGAAAAAGCTCAATCAGCCAATAATTTTTTATGTCATTTAGCAGACGCTCTTATCCAGAGTAACTTACATTTTCGTGATTTTCCCCGTACTGGTCCCCCGTGGGAATCGCATGGGACCACAGTATGCAAATGATGTAGGGCAACATTGTATTTCCTGTTTTGCATCTAAGATCTTGATACTTATCCTGTTATGACATTTGGCCATGTGTCTTGTTAATGAACACGTCACATTATTTTCCGAACATAGAGCACAGTGTGACTGAGAACATTGTTGCAGACCTTCCATCCTGCTCAACAAAAAAATAAACACCCCTTTTCTTCAGATGGCAGAACAGTTAGTTTGACTGTACAGTATCTAAGAACATTATTGTATGAGCGTTGGAAATCCCATTGTACACAATGGCTGCAATGTGATGACACACTGTAACCTACACTCTTAGAAAAAAGGGTTCCAAAATGGTTCTTCGGCTGTCCCCATAGGAGAACCCTTTTTGGTTCCATGTAGAACCCTTTTTGGTTCTAGGAGTGTACACTATTTCACTGTGTCATCCGATCACACACATGTTGCAACCATCGAACACCCAGTGTACCATAGACTAAACCAGATTGAGTTGGCTCAATCTCAACCACATTCATTTACTATGTCTTTAATTACAGTCTATTATGTTCAGTTCAAAACATAAACAACAACACATCTGAAAAGGCTTTTCCCATCATGCCATCAGTCATCACAGTGAGAAGTGAAAGAAACAGGCACAACAACAAACGTTACAACGCTGACCTGAATATTTACAATACCTTTATTTGTTGCCATTCTCACTCCTCAGTCACTCCTTTTCTGTCTTTTTCATCAACAGGTTGGCTGTATTCATGTGTTGAGTTGCCTATATTTCTTTCAGAATACTTTTACTGCATTAAGTGTGTCTATACTCTAGACCACCACCTTAGACTTCACTTCCTTCTTCCTGTATGTTGCAAAATAAAGAACGAGTCAAATCTTGTATCTCAGAGAGTTCTGCCTTCCTTTACCGTTATGCTCTCTCCTTTCACTCGCTCTCTCCATTCCTCCCTCTCTTTGCCTCTTTTACTGGGCTCTTATCATGGGAATGGGTGGCACACAGGAGGGTTGGAGAGGAGTGGAGAGAGAGAGAGAGGTAGCAGTGTTTCTCTATTCCCTCAGTGGCACTACTTAACCTGTTTCACTCCTAAAATGACTTTGGTGACAAGTTCAGCCTAATTCAGTGGATTTTAAAAGCTACACAGGACTTGAATCTATCCTGAAATAGATGGGTGTGGATACAAAAGTTGGGGTGACTAGAAATGAAGCTAAACATCTATCACTCTCATGTAGGTAAAGTATGTAGACACTGATATAATAGCTACAGTGATGATCTTTCGTTAACACTCAACTGCAATTTCCTTCCTATTCAGGGGATAGCAACAGGCTATGCACCTAACTGGGTCGACTGCAAACAAACAGTATATGGTGCACTGTGCAGGACTTAGTTAGGTCTAGTGGTTCATACAGAATGTCCCTTCAAATAACATATGCAACATTATATCTGTAAAATGCCTACAGGAAGAGGATCCTTCATATGATTCAGCAGTTCTCTCGCTGGCCAGCAAAAATGATGGGACTTATTTTCAAACTTGTCACTCCTCTGAATGCCTTCACAACCGTACTGGAAGTATCTCTAACTAGGCTACATATGATTTACAAACAATTTCTTAACTATCAAATATATGATCTATAAACCATCCAATTCAGAATGAGCTCAAAATGAGTTTTCAGCAAAACATTGACGTGACTATGTTTGTAGTCTACCCAGCATACTCTGACATGTATTTTATATTGTATTATATATTGTATTATACAGGGCGCATTTGGAAAAGAGACATAGGTCTCAATAGGTCTTCCCTGTCAAAATAAAGGTGAAATACAAAAAATGAAAATGCAGCCTGCATAGACCACCATACATACATATCTGAGACGGACTGCGTCTGATCTGGAAGGATGATAAGCCCTCCTACATGTTCTCTCTGGTCTGGCCATGACACCTTCCCACCTCCAAGGCCATGTGATAGACAGCATGGTATAGACAATACTGGCTAGTGTGTATTGACAGATTTCAGTCTGACAATGGGACCTAGAGTGGGAGTAGCCTGGCTGCAGATCTGTGTGTGCTGTCTTGTCAAATGTCATGGCATGACAATGACGTAAGCAAGAGAGTTCAAACAGATCTGGGGCCAGGCTAGCAGAAGCTTTTATCCAAAACGACAAGCTCAGTGAGTCCTTTTAGTATGTGACCTCAGCGGGAATCAAACCCACGACCCTGGCGTTGCTGGCACCATGCTCTTACCAGCTGAGTCACACAGTGATGTCATGATGGACATGTTCCACTTCCAGACCCATTGGGACTATTGAATGACCTCTACCCAGACACTCTTAATAGGGTTAGTGGTCTAGTGATCTAATGATTTAATGGTGTCTGCTGTTCTGTTGTGGTCTAGCACACAGAGACAGGGCATCGCTGCCATGGCTGGATTGTCGTCATGGCAGTAGCTGCAGATAGGTGGTGGCGAAAGAAGCCTCTTGTTCCAATGTTATTCAAAAACATGGCATTTGAATGTCGATATTAATCTTGTATATTCATTAGATATTACTAATTCCATGTGTGTACAAGCATAGGTTGGAAGGACTTCGCTAATAATATAGGCTACTACAATGGCAGGTAGCCTAGTGGTTAAATCATTGGGCCAGTAACCGAACGGTCACTGGTTCTAATACCTGAGCAGACAAGGTGAAAAATATGTCGATGTGCTCTTGAGCAAGGCACTTAACCCTAATTTGCCCCAGGGGTGCCGTACTACAAATTTCCTTGCACCTATCTGGTGTAGGTGACAATTAAACAACACATCATATTGATGTGGAAAAGGTCATGGTGTAGTTTATACTGCACAACTCAACAGCTTCCAGAGTAAACTATTCTTTGGCAGTAGACTGGAGAAACCATCAGATATTCCTGGATGGAGCCTGAAGAGGGGGGGGACATGTCCAACTCCCTTTTCTGAAGTGTCTAAACTTGTCGCTGGTTGCCAAATAAATCCAGCCCAAATCCTGCCTGCCGCTCCCCTCTCATTCCCCTACATGGCTCACTACGATCACACTAAGCAAATCTTTCTAACAGTTTTGCTGTGACCTGACAGCCAGAGACAGCATGACAAAGGATCATTGTGAAACAACACACACACTCAGATGCTGTGTGTGTGTGTATGTGTGTGTGTGTGTGCGCGCCACTGGAGTTAATGAGTTGACTCAGTGCCCCTAGACTCAGTGTGTTGAGTGGGTACATCAGACACTCAGCAGCCGGCCTGTGCATGCTGCTACCGGCTGGTGCTTTAGACTAGACAAGACATCCAGCCAGCACACTGGCCTACTCATACACAGTCAGAGGATATTACTATAGACAACATGGCAGGATACTAGCCTGCTCCCTAGGCTGTTTGGGCTGGTTTGCTGTCTCCAGGTTGTTGGCAAAACAGTACAAAGAGACATGATACCAGGGCCTGTATGTGTCTCAGAGTAGTGCTGATCTAGGATCAGTTTCAATACTCCTCCTCCTGGATCAGCACTCCTACCTCCTGGATCAGCACTCCTACCTCCTGGATCAGTACTCCTACCTCCTGGATCAGTACTCCTACCTCCTGGATCAGTACTCTTACCTCCTGGATCAGCACTCCTACCTCCTGGATCAGCACTCCTACCTCCTGGATCAGCACTCCTACCTCCTGGATCAGCACTCCTACCTCCTGGACCAGCACACCTACCTCCTAGATCAGCACACCTACCTCCTGGATCAGCACTTCTACCTCCTGGATCAGCACTCCTACCTCCTGGATCAGCACTCCTACCTCCTGGATCAGCACTCCTACCTCCTGGATCAGCACTCCTACTCTGAGACACTATGAATACAGGCCCTGGCTAGCAGGAAACTGGGATCCAGGCTTTTACTATCTATAGGTACCTGAAACATTGGTTTAAATGCCTTCCGTTCAGTTGATGACCTTTCTGGCTGATGTGTGATGTGAGGGCGGGGAGCTGACTGAGGACAATGCCTGTTTACATGGCAACAGGAAAGTCACAAGGATACTGTACTGACATCAGTGGCTCCTAAGATAAACCATAGAGCAGGGATCATCAACCAGATTCAGGCCAATTTTTTCTTGAGCGGATGGTCGGAGGGCCGGAACGTAATTACAAATCATTTGTAGATTGCAAATTGACTGCAATAAGCCCAAACAGATAATATTTGACTAAAACATAATAACATGATAATGTGTCTCTCTATTATGCCTGGGAATACTTGGGAACAGATTTCCGAAATTAAAATCACTTGAAGCTGATTTTCTGGTGTTTTTACAATTATTATTATTCATATACATTTTTGTTGGGCTCAGAAAACTTGGGGGGCCAAATAAAATCACCTGCCAGTTGGGGAAACCTGCCATAGAGAATGTGCCTATAAGTCAACTATTGTCCGTCTCTCACTCCCTTTCCTACAAACTAGTAATACTGGATGGATTTCAGTGAATCCAATTTAGCATTAATTAAATTACATTGGAATTACAAACTTAGGCCTCCATCTTCTTCATAGTATGACTAGGGTGGGGCCTAAAAGCTGAATTACTGACAACGTGTTGTAAGCCTGCTATGTTGGTAATCAGTTGAGGTTTGAAGTGTAGGTCTATTCTAACATGTGATGACATTGACTGGAGGGATTAAGGTAAGATAAACAGGATGGAGGAAACTCGATGACTCAACAGATCTTATGAACAACAACCCAACCCAAAGTCCAACCACCATTTGGAAGTACAACTGCAGCGATGGACAGGCTCACCATCAGTCTACCTCTTGAGAGACATATGTGACATGCCACGCAATGAGTGCCGTTTTAGAAAGTCATTATGGCAAAACGTAAATAAATCAGTGTCAATGATGCACCATAGCTGAGTGCCAAATGTTTCTGCTGCGGTGGTGTGTGTGTGTGTGTGTGTGTGTGTGTGTGTGTGTGTGTGTGTGTGTGTGTGTGTGTGTGTGTGTGTGTGTGTGTGTGTGTGTGTGTGTGTGTGTGTAATAACCATATGGCATTCTACATATCACCACATGGGTGTTGTCACAGCTGATTTTTGCCAGGAGGAAAAACACACAAACAACTTCTGCTTCTGTGAGAGAGCAGACTGAGCCAACCTCAGAGTTATAAGCTGTCAATTCATTCATTGTATTGATTATTCTGTTGTAGAAATTAATTGTCAATGAATTATACATTGCCTGCAAAGCAACATTTGACTAATAGCTTTGTCTAATATACTTGTTAAAGTCAAATGGACAAAAGCCTACTGCTGTAGAATAGACTATCCGACTTTGCTGTCTGATTCTTCTGATTCCAATTTGTGGGAACAATGGACCGTGTGGGAGACATGTAGGCCTAGGTGGTTATTTATTTCCATATGATCAGTGTACAACAATGAATATCACTTAGTCCTTAAATTGAACATAAACAGCGCATCTCTTGAGAGATGTAGGCTAGAGCAGCACGTCTGCAAGCCTTTGATACACGCAAGATTCATTCTTTGTAAAAGGGTATTTTTAATGGGAAACGTAAACTATTATTCTGCACACTGATTAGGATGATGTTTTGCCAAAGATGATGATGCGATTTAAATCTGTTTGGGAGTGGGACACACGCGGCCGGTCCCCACCCATCATTCACGAGTCATTGTTTCCATTTCTTCCACCCACACCCCTTTTTACAAAAATAACGGTGCAAAGAAAATGCGAAGAAAGGGAACATTTCTTACCATATTTCGAGTCCGGAGTCGGTTTCTTCTCGTCTAGGTCCATGGTTGAATACTTGGGTGTTCTCGCTGCTGTCTGTTGATCCAATTTTGGACAGTTACCATGGAAATGTCGGAGAAAAAAGCATCAATAACACTGTTAGCGATTCCCTATTCGCCGTCAAAACCGAACGTACTGTGGCAAGACCACACCAAATCATGATACATTCCATACCGCGAGACATTGAGACAGGGGCCAATCAGATATAAAAACCAACAACTGACAGCTTGGTCGGCCAATTAAATTACCCTAAAGGCGGGGCCAAAAATGTTTTCTCTTGCAGCTACCTCAAAGGAATGTGAAGAGGGGTTGTGCTACCAGACACTATGAATAGCCTATTTTAATTTCAAAATCATTAGGGAAAATGATTCTTTAGAACATGCAAATAAAATGTAGAAGACTGTAAGTTGTTCAAACTAAAAGGTTATCTCTCACAGTTTGAGTGGATTTTTTTTTTCATTCCCAAAATTCACTTCATATCAACAAAATCGAAAAGAATGCAAACGGTAAAAAGGTGCATGCAGTGAAAGAGAGTAAGAAAGAGAGACTCAATCAAGCTAGTCCTCTTGACTTCTTTCTTATCTCATTCTCGTTGGCACCAAAAGTTTAAAAAGTGTTGATAGGGGACAGAATGCGGTCGGACCATCATATAATTGGCATATACATTACTCTTACTGAATTTCCACGTGGGTGAGGATATTGGAAATGTTATCAAAGCCTATTGGATGATAATTTATTTTTAACTAGGACAAAGGAATTTATAACTGACTTTTTCCGACATAACATAGGTACAGCAAATCCCCTTATTGTATGGGACACCTTTAAATGGGCCTTTAGAGGCCATGCAATTCAGTACTCATCTCGAAAACAAAAGCAATTTAGGTCAAAATAGTTTATACTAACAAAGGAAATAGAAAGTCTAACAGAACAGATAGATGGCAATAAAAACTGTAACATAGAGGCTCAGAATAAATTAGAGGAAAAACAAACAAAAATGGATAAACTTATTCAAGACAGATCAAGTGTAATATATTATAAAAATAAAGCAAACTGGATGGAATATGGGGAAAAATGCACCAAATTCTTTTTTCATCTTCAACATAGGAATGCTACCAAAAATGTTTTAATGAAATTGGTTACAATTGACGGAGTAACCCATGATTCACCAAATGATATTTTGAAGGAGGAAACAAGGTACTTTAAGCCTATAGCCTCCCGAGTGGCGCAGTGGTCTAAGGCACTGCATCGCAGCGCTAGCTGTGCCATTAGAGATCCTGGTTCGAATTCAGGCTCTGTCGTAGCCGGCCGCGACCGGGAGACCCATGTGGCGGCGCACAATTGGCCCAGCGTATTCAACACCATAGTGCCCTCAAAGCTCATCACTAAGCTAAGGATCCTGGGACTAAACACCTCCCTCTGCAACTGGATCCTGGACTTCCTGACGGGCCGCCCCCAGGTGGTAAGGGTAGGTAACAACACATCTGCCACACTGATCCTCAACACGGGGGCCCCTCAGGGGTGCGTGCTCAGTCCCCTCCTGTACTCTCTGTTCACCCATGACTGCATGGCCAGGCACGACTCCAACACCATCATTAAGTTTGCCGACGACACAACAGTGGTAGGCCTGATCACCGACAACGATGAGACAGCCTATAGGGAGGAGGTCAGAGATCTGGCCGTGTGGTGCCAGGACAACAACCTCTCCCTCAACGTGACCAAGACAAAGGAGATGATTGTGGACTACAGGGAAAAAAAGAGGACTGAGCACGCCCCCATTCTCATCGACGGGGCTGTAGTGGAACAGGTTGAGAGCTTCAAGTTCCTTGGTGTCCACATCACCAACGAACTATCATGGTCCAAACACACCAAGACAGTCGTGAAGAGGGCACGACAAAGCCTATTCCCCCTCAGGAGACTAAAAAGATTTGGCATGGGTCCTCAGATCCTCAAAAAATTCTACAGCTGCACCATCGAGAGCATCCTGACTGGTTGCATCACCGCCTGGTATGGCAACTGCTTGGCCTCTGACCGCAAGGCACTACAGAGGGTAGTGCGTACGGCCCAGTACATCACAGGGGCAAAGCTCCCTGCCATCCAGGACCTCTATACCAGGCGGTGTCAGAGGAAGGCCCTCAAAATTGTCAAAGACTCCAGTCACCCTAGTCATAGACTGTTCTCTCTGCTACCGCACGGCAAGCGGTACCGGAGTGCCAAGTCTAGGTCCAAAAGACTTCTCAACAGCTTCTACCCCCAAGCCATAAGACTCCTGAACAGCTAATCATGGCTACCCGGACTATTTGCACTGCCCCCCCACCCCATACTTTTTACGCTGCTGCTACTCTGTTAAGTATTTATGCATAGTCACTTTAACTCTACCCACATGTACATATTACCTCAACTACCTCAACTAGCCGGTGCCCCCGCACATTGACTATGCAACGGTACCCCCCTGTATATATAGCCTCCCTACTGTCACTTTATTCTATTGTATATATAGCCTCCCTACTGTCACTTTATTTTTACTTCTGCTCTTTTTTTCTCAACACTTTTTTGTTGTTGTTTTATTCTTACTTTTTTGTTTAAAATAAATGCACTGTTGGTTAAGGGCTGTAAGTAAGCATTTCACTGTAATGTCTGCACCTGTTGTATTCGGCGCATGTGACCAATAATATTTGATTTGATTTGATTTGATTTGAATGGCCGGCAGGGATGTAGCTCAGTTGGTAGAGCATGGCATTTGCAACGCCAGGGTTGTGGGTTTGATTCCCACAGGGGGTATGAAAAAAAAAAATATATATACACTGCTCAAAAAAATAAAGGGAACACTTAAACAACACAATGTAACTCCAAGTCAATCACACTTCTGTGAAATCAAACTGTCCACTTAGGAAGCAACACTGATTGACAATACATTTCACATGCTGTTGTGCAAATGGAATAGACAACAGGTGGAAATTATAGGCAATTAGCAAGACACCCCCAATAAAGGACTGGTTTTGCAGGTGGTGACCACAGACCACTTATCAGTTCCTATGCTTCCTGGCTGATGTTTTGGTCACTTTTGAATGCTGCCGGTGCTTTCACTCTAGTGGTAGCATGAGACGGAGTCTACAACCCACACAAGTGGCTCAGGCAGTGCAGCTCATCCAGGATGGCACATCAATGCGAGCTGTGGCAAGAAGGTTTGCTGTGTCTGTCAGCGTAGTGTCCAGAGCATGGAGGCGCTACCAGGAGACAGGCCAGTACATCAGGAGACATGGAGGAGGCCGTAGGAGGGCAACAACCCAGCAGCAGGACTGCTACCTCCGCCTTTGTGCAAGGAGGAGCAGGAGGAGCACTGCCAGAGCCCTGCAAAATGACCTCCAGCAGGCCACAAATGTGCATGTGTCTGCTCAAACGGTCAGAAACAGACTCCATGAGGGTGGTATGAGGGCCCGACGTCCACAGGTGGGGGTTGTGCTAACAGCCCAACACCGTGCAGGACGTTTGGCATTTGCCAGAGAACACCAAGATTGGCAAATTCGCCACTGGCGCCCTGTGCTCTTCACAGATGAAAGCAGGTTCACACTGAGCACATGTGACAGACGTGACAGAGTCTGGAGACGCCGTGGAGAACGTTCTGCTGCCTGCAACATCCTCCAGCATGACCGGTTTGGCGGTGGGTCAGTCATGGTGTAGGGTGGCATTTCTTTGGGGGGCCGCACAGCCCTCCATGTGCTCGCCAGAGGTAGCCTGACTGCCATTAGGTACCGAGATGAGATCCTCAGACCCCTTGTGAGACCATATGCTGGTGCGGTTGGCCCTGGGTTCCTCCTAATGCAAGACAATGCTAGACCTCATGTGGCTGGAGTGTGTCAGCAGTTCCTGCAAGAGGAAGGCATTGATGCTATGGACTGGCCCGCCCGTTCCCCAGACCTGAATCCAATTGAGCACATCTGGGACATCATGTCTCGCTCCACCCACCAACGCCACGTTGCACCACAGACTGTCCAGGAGTTGGCGGATGCTTTAGTCCAGGTCTGGGAGGAGATCCCTCAGGAGACCATCCGCCACCTCATCAGGAGCATGCCCAGGCGTTGTAGGGAGGTCATACAGGCACATGGAGGCCACACACACTACTGAGCCTCATTTTGACTTGTCTTAAGGACATTACATCAAAGTTGGATCAGCCTGTAGTGTGGTTTTCCACTTTAATTTTGAGGGTGACTCCAAAATTTCCATTGATAATTTTTGTGTGATTTTGTTGTCAGCACATTCAACTATGTAAAGAAAAAAAGTATTTAATAATATTATTTAATTCATTCAGATCTAGGATGTGTTATTTTAGTGCTCCCTTTATTTTTTGGAGCAGTGTATATAATATAATGTATGCACTCACTAACTGTAAGTCGCTCTGGATAAGAGCGTCTGCTAAATGACTAAAATGTAAATACGTTTTCGTTTCAGTCGCCTCCATCTCCTCTAACTGAAGCTAATTGTAGAGATTTTTTTTTCTATTGATAATGTAAAATGAACAGCCAAACAGAAAGACTCATGTGAAGGTGAAATTACAGAGGAGGAACTTCTGGATGCAATTAAAGACTTTAAGTCTGGGAAAACTCCAGGGTTGGATGGCATACCAGTCGAAGTATACCAAACCTTTTTTTATATACTAAGAGGACCGCTATTAGCATGTTTTAACCACTCCTATGTAAATGGTAGATTATCTGACACTCAAGAATAAGGTCTGATCTCATTATTACTGAAACAGGATACAAGTGGAAAATATAAAGATCCCGTCCATTAAAAAAATTGGAGGCCCCTTACACTTCAGTGTTGTAATGCAAAAATTCTAGCAAAATGTATAGCGCATAGAATTAAAAAGGTATTGTCGGATATTATTAATTCTAATCAGACAGGTTTTTTACATGGAACATACATTGGAGATAATATAAGGCAAGTTTATTGGAAACAATAGAACATTATGGAAAATCTGACAAACCAGGCCTGCTATTCATAGCAGACTTCGAAAAGGCATTTGATAAAGTACGACTGGGGTTTATATATAAATGCCTGGAGCATTTCAATTTTGGTGAATCTCTTATAAAATGGGTCAAAATCATGTATAGTAACCCTAGGTGTAAAATAGTAAATAATGGCTATTTCTCAGAAAGTGTTAAACTGTCAAGAG